CGCGGTATCCCTTGTTTGTCTGTTCTGAAAGGTTACTGAGAGCAGGCCAATCATTGATGGTCACGAACAGCAACGCCTTTAGGTCAAATTCTTCCCGTCTGTACTCATCCCATGCACGTACACCTGTTCCATTCCACAGTTGTAAGAGTTCTTCAACTAATGGCCTTAGGTACACATCAATGTCGTTGTCGGGTTACTTAGGGCCTTGGATGAGCACTGGCATCATAATGAACTTCTGCTTCATGCACAACCAAGGAGGAAGGTTACACAAACATAGAGTCACAGGCTAGGTGCTATGGTTGCTGCTCTGCTCCCCAAAAGGATTAATGTCATCTACGCTTAGACTAAACCATACATTCCTTGCATCACCTGCAAACTCCTTCATGTACTTTCTCTCTATTTTTCTCCACTGTGACCCGTCAGCGGGTACTCTCAACTTTCCGTCTTTCTTACGGTCTTCTCTATGCCATCTCATCGCCTTGTCATGCTCTTTGTTTAGGAACAAACGTTTCAACCATGGTATTATAGGAGCATACACATCACCTTGGCAGGAATCTTCTTCCTGGGGCACTCGCCCTCGACATCACCAGGGTCACCGCGGCTGATCTTATAGCGCAATGCACCGCATACCGGGCACGCGTTCAAATCCGCGTACTCACCACTGTAGAGGATGCAGTCATTAGGGCATGCATGTATCTTCTGCACCTCTAATCCTAGAGGGCAGACAACCTTCTTTGCTTCGTACGTACTCTCGGGTAATTCGTTGTCCTTTGGAAGCATCTTCTTTAACTTTACCAACAACTTTCCAAATGCCTTGTCGGATACACCATTCTCTGCCTTCCATTGCAGTAATTCCAGTGTGGTGCCCAGCTTTTTATTGTCAGTTTCGCAATTCAGGTACAATAATTTCTTGTGATCCTCTAACATGCGCTGCAACTTCTTCTTCTCCTTTGCACTTGCGCAGTTTCTCTCTGCATCGGCAATGGCCCAACCTAGATCATCAGTTGGCTCATCTGATGCCTCTTGTTCAGCTTCTTCCCGCATTGCTGGCTTAGCTTCTTCCCCCATTTTTGTATCATCGTATTCAGGGAACCCATGGCCAGAATAGCTATCGTCGTCCTCTTATTCTTCATTTTCTTCCATCATAACTCCTCTTTCTCCGTGCTTGGTCCAAACAATATAATGGGGCATGAAACCAGACTCAAATAGGTGGACGTGAATGGTTCTTGAGTTAGAGTAATTATGATCATTCTTACAGCCAGCACATGGACAAGGCATAAAACCATCTGCCCGCTTGTTTGCCTGAGCCACAATCAGAAAAGTATGCACACCCTCAACGAACTAGGGAGAGCATCAGTCATCGTACATCCATTGCCGGCTCATCTTCATCACACAACACCGAATAGACCAAATTAATACAAGTGCATACATAAAGTTCATACAATACTTATTCTCATAAAGCAAACATATAAATAACTCTCTAGCTAAAGAATTTAAATGCAACAACAAATGAGATCAAGACCGCAACTAAGGTAACAACTGATCCAATCTAACAGCATAATGAAACCAAGCCTCACTATCAATGGCATATTTTCTAATCTTTCCAATCTTCAACCACATTTTCTCCATCTTGATCTTGTGATCATCGACAACATCGGCAACATGCAACTCCAATTCCATCTTCTCCCCCTCAATTCTTTTCAAATCCTTTCAAATACTCGTTTTCTCTTTCAATTAAGTTTAACCTCTTGGCAATAGGGTCGGTTGGAATTTCCGGTTCACATACCTCCTAGGTAAAAATATATATGTCAACTTGATGGTCATAATTTGTCATAAACATGAAATGCAACAAAATAGTTATAAAAGAAAATATACCACATCCGAATCATAACCCGGATGAGGGCCAGCGGGGACGGATATCAAAACCATGGCACTATGAATAACAAACAACGTACGGGTAAGATAATTATACAAGTATCTATATATCTAAATCACACAAACATGATTTTTTTTATATAAAAAGATAAGAACAAGAGGCTCACCCCACAAGGTGGTGCCGGCGACAAGACGGTGCGGATGATCGACGGTGTTTACGACGAAGATGGGAAGGCACTAAGTAAACCACACCTACATATGTAAACTAAGAGTTATTTTGAGCTCAAATTGCATATAAATCAAATAAACTACCACATATAATTCCTCCCAAATTACTAAAACCCACAAATTAATGACTATATAAAGCATTGCAAAATTTAATCTAGCAATGAGAGATGAAAAGACAAAGTTGCTTACCTTTTATGATCACTTGAATGGATGGGGGCCTTCAAATATTGACAAAATTTGGGGAAAATGTGAGATGAGCTCGAGGTAGAGGGGAAAGGGGGAAAACAGAGAGAGCTCGATCGCGAGAGGACGAAGGGTTGATATAGGACGACCTTTAGCACCGGTTCATGCCATGAACCGGTACTAAAGGTGCCGGAGGGCCCCAGACTGACAACATCCTGCCACCACTCTCTTTAGTACCGGTTCATGGCATGAAATGGTGCTAAAGATTCGCCACGAACCGGTACTAATGAGATCGGCCCAGCTAGACGTTGGAACCGGCACTAATGGTCACATTAGTGTCGGCTCAATTACAAACCGGGACTAATGAGATGAACATTTGACCCTTTTTCTACTAGTGGAGAAACATATACAATCGCTTTATTTCCAAGTTGTTTAGCAAGGTCTGTGTTATCCTTGGGTATTGGTAGAGTTGTAGAGGTCTTCGGCGTTGGTGTGTAGCCGCTTGGTTGCTTTGTGCCTCATCGACATTGGCATGAGGTTGGTCTAGGTCAAGCATGTCTTGTAGTACGCATGGTGGGTGTGTTTTGTGGATGTGGTTGGTAATCCTTGTGATTGGCGTTGTATGGCCGAAAGGCTTGTATCCAGCTTCTTTGCCTCTTCTCCTATCATATATGATATGCATGCTTGCACGTATTCTAGAAAAAAGTTGTTCAGCATGCTTGGTTTGGTTAACTGGCTTTTCCTTGCATCTCGAGTTAATCTGTTGGATCTGCAATGGTTTAATTTTCATTAACTTTTTCTACTTATAGTATGCCAACTCTCAGATAACCCGATCAATATCTGTCTTATATGTGTTGCAGGGAAACAATGGGAGGCAATGAGGTTTACCATCGAGGTTTGCACATGCATGGTCCTTTAGCTAATAACACATTATTGTGCAGTTGCAGGAATCATTCTAATATTTATTTTTTAACAATTTGGTCTTACACATGTAGGTCTGGCTATCAGAGGTTTATACCCATTGTTCGACCCATTTTGCATATGGGGGAATGAGATGTCCATGAATATCAGTCAAGTCAAGAAACTCAAGATTGTTAGGATAAAGAAACTTGCGACGAATAACAACAAGATCTTTGTTTGCACAAATGAAGAAGACATCAGTCAACTATAGGATGGTACTAACTCTTTTACCTTGTCTTTTCCCCTTGTGCCATTTCAAAATTTAGAATAACTATTTATGCATATCTTTGTGTTTAGTCATTTCCAAAGCAGTTCACCGATGATTACCTCTCGAACCACCTGCATGGTCAAGAGGCAATGAATGTATTCATTCAACACCCATGGTACAATATTGAATTCTTCCTCAAGAGACGAAGGTTGGGCGAGCAATTATCCGTAGCCACTAGCCTAAAGTTGCAAGGACATTCAACATCACTGAAGGCTCAATATTCGCCTTCTGCTTCTGCAGTTTCCCAGATGAGATTCACCTGTCTATTTACCGTGTATGATACTACTTTCCAAAGGTTTTCGATGTTGCATGTAAAACTTGGAGCTGTTGTGTATATGGTGTAACAGAGTGCTGAAGCTATCTAATGTAATTCAATTATGAAATCCTAGTTGTCATTACATGGATATGAAATATATGGTGTGTCTTATAAGAAATGTCAATTTGATTACTAAATGGATTATCAATAATAGGCCAATTAGCCTGCTTACTGGGTTTTTATATTACAGAAGGTTTCTCAGACAATGTCGTGGGCTATGAACTCAAACTACTCACATGGTTTCTAGAAAGTAGGCGTGTTGGATCAATGAACAATCACACACCACTTCGGCCAGAGAACTGTTTGCATTAGGCCACCTTACACAAACGTTTCCACATAAAAAATTGTGTGTGATATACATATGAATGAAAACGTTTTACTGGGATGAACATACGAACAAAAATGATTGTGTCTGTATAATTGTCTCCGATGCCTCGCACGATCGCACATGAGCTCATTTTGCCCCGCTTGTGTGACTGGATGACCTATCCCCGATGGTTTCTGGGTCGTGTGGGAAGGACCCTCCCTATCGCCCACACTAGCAAGGTGATAGTTTAAAATGTCATCGCCGAAAGGGGTTAAAAACCGTTTGTATAACACGTCTCTGCACCAGTGTTTCACTATGTTTGTCCAAACATTGTAAAAAAAAGTCTCATATCAGTACATATCATATGCTATTTGGTGTCTACAAATTTCAGGGATTGAAAGTATCGTGTACTATGCTATGAAGTAGTCCACTTCAAACTTGCACGTCCATGTTTCTTACACCAGCATGTTCAAGATAGCAGCTTGGCAAACATAGCAAATAATGCTACTACTAAAAAACATTTCATTACAAATTTCTCTCCCTCTAATTTCTTTTGGTAAACAGTAATCTGGTTAATAGCAGCACAATTTTCAACATCTTTCTTTAATAACACCTCAATTTGCATATCCTTTTTCTTGAGCAAATATTCATTCCAAGCCTTCTTCTAATCCCAAGATACTCAAATATGCGAGTTTAGCAAAGATGATTTGGCGAAGTAGGGTACTACCTGCAGCGCCGGTGAGAGGAAGTAGCCTCGTCAGCATCGTCGCGCCCAGTCAAGATCCACACCTCCACGCCCCGTCTAAATCACGGGGAGGAAGACCTCGAACACGCAGGACACATGATGTCGAGGAGGTGCAGTGATGGCTGGGGGTGGGGCGCCGTTGGATCGCCTCTCTATAGTACCGAGACTTAGGGTTCAAGGAGAGAGGGGAGAAAGGGGGAGTGCAGCGGTTGGACTGAGCTTCAGTGACTTAACCGCACCTGCCTTTGGGTCTATGACTTGTGGGCTACCCATCTGTTGGGACCACCTATCATACAAACAAAAGATGGGTGTAGTAAGTCACCGTTGTTGCGTCCGTGGCGTCTAAGTGCGTGACTTGCAGGGTCCCACTATTTTTTATTTTATTGGTGCCAAACTTGCCTTTTTGTTGAAACAACTAGGACAAATAAGACTGATAATTGCACATTTGCAATTTTCACACAAATTAGACAACATTCGAGGTCTACCGTCATTTTCATGAATTTTAGAGCTTTTTCCTTATATTCCATTGATTTAATGGATTTCTAGACATTTATTGGAAGTTATTCAATTTGAAGTGCAAGTGTGTTGTTGTTTGGTCAAAAAAGTAAAAATCATTTAAGCAATTACATTAGGAATGTGGGCAGTAGCCACAAAAAATGTTGAAATGCCCAACCCTAACCATGAATAGCCATCCTTGCAAGTTTGATCCCATTTTGGAAAAAAAACAAAACAAAAAAAGTCTAAAAAATTGAAACCACTAGCACAAACAAGATTGATAATCTTATTTTTTACTTCTTAGGTGCCAAAATTGCCTTTTTTGTGAAACCACTAGCACAAACAAGATTGATAATTGCACCTTTGCAGTTTCACACAAAGTAGACAACATTGGACGCCTACTGCCATTTTTTCATGAATTTTAGATCCCTTTTCCCTATATCCCACCGATTTAATGGATTTTTAGACTTTTATTGGAAGTAATTCATATTTGAACTGCAAGTGCGTTGTTGTTTGGCAAAAAACTAGGGAAAAAACATTTTAAGCAATGACATTAGGAATGTGGGACTAGCCGATGATTCCCTTTAGTAATCCGGTAAAAGAGCAGAAATGATTCTCGTCTTTTTCCTTAGGTGTCCCTGAGTTATCGAATACACGAGAGGAAGTGCACTTTTAAGGCAAAGGTTTCTAGCAAGCTTTGCAAGAGAATTTAATTCCAGTTTCGACTGGACCGAATCAAACTGCAAAATTCAACTCTTATAAATAAAAATAGGCATGAGTATGAGAACTTATTCTTATAACCATATATTTGTGAACGGGATCATCATGATAGTCGTTTGTGCTCAGGGAATCAGCACCAAGATGTGCTTGCAACATCTCAGAAATGGGAGATGTGTCTAAATTACCTTGACTAGCACGCGTCTTGCATCAAGAGTCGGTTGTACAATCAAAGGCCCTATCGGACAAGGATTGCGAATGAGATAAGAGACAATTACGAAGAAGTTTTATTTACACACATACAAGACATTAAAATACTTTCATCTATTCCTCTAACAAATACATCGGGTTGCAGGGTCTCAACCCATGACTTTACCGAACCACTCACATATGACAATGAGATTGTAAAAAGAAACCACTGAAAAACACATCATGAAGATTGACTAATTGATAATATATCTTATAATAGTTGCCGGATGCGATACACGATTATAAAGTATGGCTAGTTAGAAATGTACTTTTTTTTTTACATAATGTACTTGTCCGATTCGTTCGTAGTAGAATTCAAATCAAAGGCGAATGGTGAATCTGTGCAGGTTTTCGACCGGTTTCCGGCACGACCTCGTATCCGGTGCAGCGACGCTCACCCCAATTTGCCTCCCCTTAATTTCGAACCCAGTGTAGCTTTCCTATTTCAAACAGCTCGCTCCCTGTCGCCGCAAACCTCAGCCTCCGCGGCCCATCGCATCGTCTCAGGCAGCCCACAGCGACGGCAGCGCCCGCGGCGATGGAGTTTCGGCAGGGTGGCTCGCCGGGAGGCGGCGGGGGCGACGGCAAGCCGCGAGAGAAGTTCTCGGTATACCAGAACACGTCCCTCACCCGCGCGCTCGCCTCCCGCAGCGTCCGCCCCTCCCTCTCCGTCCTCCTCCTCCTTGCGCTTTCCCCCATCGCATCTGCCTCATCCCTCATGGCCCTCTCGTCCCGGTAAGCC